TCGTAAAGTACCTCTAAACCTACTTCTCCCGATGAGGCCCTCGAGGGTTAGGTCACGACATAATACTCAATGGCTCCTACAAATTATTAACATGAACTTGATGTCAGCGGTTTTCAAAGATCTATGATTTTGCATGTTTTAGTGGGATTGGTGGCAGGATCCTAGGCAAAAAAAATATGTAGTGAAAGAAAGAAGAAGGCCTGCGTTCCCTGTGTTCATCAAACGGCACTCTTATTCTCTTAATGAAGTGTCCAATTCAGAGAATATATTAGTTGGCTCTGTAAAATAACCAAAACTGTCACTCATAAACTACCTAAACCGATCAGCAAGGATTTCATGCTTTGGCAGTCACCCTTCTTCTGTGCATTTTTAGAAATTTTGGGATTTTTACATGGACGAACTGCCACTTTGCACTTCAAGTGGCCACCAGACTTTGTGCTGTGCAGTAGATGGACAGGAGTAGCCCATTGCTTGGGAATCTGTAGTTTTGGACTTTGAAATTGTACGAAAGCTTATGAAATTCTGCTGATTGCAGGGGCATGTCATCTCGCTTTTACTCGATGAGAAGACAGTTCACACTTCTTGTGGTTCTGCCGGTATTAGCCCAAAATCCTTAAAATCTCTTTCATATTTTGCTTTGTCAGGTGATGGGAGACCCGCATTGAAGGAACTTGTTGAAATTATTGATGTTGATGATGACCGCACTGGGCCAGGATGTTCGAGTGGGAATGATCTGCCTTCTCCAAAGCTTACTGGTGAAGAACATCTTGGCGACAATAATCAAGAGAAAGGGAAAAGCGAGCTCAAGAGAAAGAGATTAAAGTATCGATAATATTAAGTTTGAAACTGAGACAGCCTCAGCTTCTGCTGAGCCAAACAATGACAGTTCTTCCCTATGTCAGCATAAAAAAAAAATCGAAAGTAAAAGGATCAGGGAAGTAGGTAAGCTATACAGACTTGCTTCCAGAGTTTTTTGCCAGAAATGATGTGCGGACTTTACACATTGCATAGTCCTAGCCCAAACTCAGTGGAGAGTGGTGGTCTTCAAGGGCATTTGAGAGTGCCTCCATTCAGTAAGGTATCAGACTATAGCATTCATGCAAGCACAGTCATGACCATTATCGTCGGTCATTGATGTTGTTTTCTATGTTTGTTCATCCATATGAAATGACAGTCTGCGAGTTTACTCCAAAACATGTAGAGTCTTCATTGCACGTTCAATAGTTTGTTTCTGGATAGAGATACGATTTCCATCCATGTCAATGAGAACTTAGTAGCTACGTGGAGTTTTCATTGCACTTTTGTAATAAGTTTTCGGATTTGATTGCACTTTTCAAAAATTTTATAACTCAGTTGCACTTTCTTAATAAATTTTAGGACTTAATTATACTTTGTAAAAGTTTTAAGACTCAATTGCACTTTCATGATAAATTTTAGAATTTCAATTATACTTATCTCATATATTTTGTTTAACTCATTTTATTAGATCAAATACGCAAAATATCAAGAAATAGGAGTAGTTGCTTTGGGATTCAATAGAAGTACCTCTTCATTCACATAGAACGTTGCAATCTGATGCCTTTCTCTGTCATTATTTTGACTCAATACGATATTCTCGATGAGCAACGCTAAAAAATATCATAAGTTATTTACATGATAATATGATTGATTTTTATGTGATGCTAAGTTATGCCTGGCTATTTAAAATCTCAACTCATGCTCTTTCTTTGACTAGGGCTGGCAACGCTAGAAACAATCCAGCCGTGTGGCACGAGCCGCGGGAAAAATGCAAATCCAAAGAGGAAAAATCGGATATAACACAAAAGACGTAACTCTATGTCATTGATACGAATTAACAAGTTCTCGTCGTGATTCGTTTTTTTAATATGTAGAATAAAAATCAAAATATTTTGGATCAGTGCCAGTAACACGAATTACAATTAGACCAATAGGAATTACCAGCTCTATCCACAACTTCACCGCTTACACAGATAAGACGTGGTGTTCCGTGTTCTTCCCCTGCGATGGGAAGATACTCCGAATTAAAGCCAACTTTATCAAAGCAAAAAAAAAATAAAATTAAAGTCACCAAAAACTCTAAATTATGCTAGTTGTGATATATTTGCACAAGTTTTTTTCTTTAATACTAAAAATCTCAAACTTGTTCCCGTGTGACGTATTTATCCCGTCAAAGTTCTGTCAATATGAACCGTTAAAAATATGACTATATGGACGTTATAAAGCTAATAATATTGACATGGTTTAAGTGAAATAAAAACGATATTGTACTATTGAAAAATCATGTAACGGAACTTTGATAGAGGGTAAACGTGTCATATAGTTACAAGAAAAAATTTTATGGTAAATGTTTTATAGTAGGAATAGTTTGGAATTTTTAATGTCATAAATAATTTTCAGGATAAATATGTCACGGCGGGTTTAGCTTAAAATTTTCCGTGGCTTTTTCCCAAAACAAAATCGGGAAAAGCGATTTTCCTTTTGGCCGACTAGATGAATTTGCCGAAAGGCCACTTTGACCAAACCCATTTTGCAGAAAAGGACAAAAACACAAAATTAATCGAAATAAATTACCCCAGAGTGGAAAATATTTGGTAAAAAAAAGAGAAGAATACTCCCACGTTAACCTATTCCGCCTGACTCGATCGATCGTGTGGGAAAAGCCCACTTTGACCAAACTTATTTGGCAGAAATGGACGAGAAAAAACAAAATTATTTGAAAGATTAAAAAACCCCTAAGTAGAAAATATCTGAAAAAGAAAAAAAAAACACTACTCTCGCGTTGAACCGTTCGATCATGTGCGAAATTAGCCACTAATAAATCAGAAAAAGCTCCGGCCCATCTAGAAAAAAGTAATGAAAAAATGACGTCAATGATTTTCAAACTTTAGTACAATATCGCCCCTAAGCTATTGCTTTGGTATAATGACATATGTGGTCTCTGAACTTTGGCTCAATATACTATGTAGTCTCTGAACTATTAATTTGTTCAATGTGGTTCGAACTATATGAAAATGAATAATGTTGTCTCTGAACATTTAACATTTAATAAATTAAAATCAGCGACAATATTAAATATTTTCATATAGTCTAAGAACTAAATTGAACACGTACCAAAATTTCAGGGACCACATTGCCCATTGGGGTAAAGTTTAAGGACCACATTGAACAAATTAAAAATTCACGGACCATCTATGTCATTTTCCCATTATTTAAATGCCGAGGTATACCCCATCCTCGATTAGGCGCAATGCTAGAAATAGTCCATTTGCACGACATGAGTCAACAAGGTAAAACACAGATTACAAAGAGAAAAATCGAATATTACACGACATAGCTAATTTCAATGATATGAGTTAACAAGTTTTCATCATTATTTGATTATTCAACATGTAAAATTAAAATTAAAAGGGTTAATATCATGAAAAATCTTAAACTGGTATACATGTGACAAATTTAACCAAAAATAACTTTTTGACCATAAAAAACCCTAAATTGGTACACATGTGATAAATTTACCCTAAACTAATTTTTTAACCACCAAAAACCCCAAACTGATGCATTTGTGATAAATGTACCATTCGTTAATTGGAATAAAATCACGAAAAACCACAAAATGATATACTTATGACGGACGAAGGGTAAAACCTCAATCTGGTATACTCATCAACTGTCACATGTCATCCAATTTAGAAATTTAACGGAAACTAATTTGTCACAACCGTATTATTTTAAGATTTTTTGTGATATTAGCCCAAATTAAAATACTTTAGATTGACCCAAAGCGACACGAATTACAAATATAACGATCACACGCCGATACGATCCGATTTACCAGCAACTAAACGCGTGACTTTATCCCGTTGAAACAGCTGTACAAAGTGATCCTGCTACAAATAACAACGGTACTGTTTTTTTTTTTTTTTTGGTTTCTTTCCCCGCAATGGGAAGAAACTCTGATCTCGCGGCCCCACATGGCAACAACGGGAAAGGGCAGACTCACTAAAGCCACCGTCTTTCCCCCAGGAAACCTCAAAAATAAAAGCCATTTTTATCAATGCCAGGCCTAATTCCCTAAAAAATTTCAAGTCTAAATTTATCAACTTTCACTCTAATTTTAAATCTATTAACGCGTCCAAAAATTGCCCCAGTTTCCTCGAAATTATCAACATTAGATTTATTATTAGAACTTGCATCTTTATCAACATCCTCACCTTCATAAGTAGGGGCGATTTTTGGACTGCGGTTAACTGGGGTTACCATTTTCTAGTTGAAATGGATAAGCAGATGATGAAGTTCAAACAGAAGTAATTGCCTCGTCCGCAACTTTTTCGATGGGCAGAATGGTTTTCAAAATACTCTTTTGAATCCAAAATGATTTTATATTTAAAGTATGAGATTTTTTTAAGGAAATTGGGCTAAAAAAAAAGAAAAGAAAAGCCGCTTTTTTGGCCAACCAAATAAATTTGCAGACAAGCCACTTTGACCAACTGAAGGACCAAGTGATAATAACATAAATGGTCATCGAACTTTGGCTCTATATGCAACGTGATCTCTCAGCTTTTAATTTGTTCAATGTGGTCCATGAACTTTTTCCTAATATGTAACGTGGTCCCTAAACTTTTAATTTGTTCAATGTCATATTTGGTACCTATATGTTGTCATTTCATCAATTCAAGTCTAGAGATAGCATTAAATGTCTTCATATTGTCCATAGACTAGATTGAATATATACCAAAAGTTCAGGGATCGCATTACACATCAAATAAATTAAAAGTTTTAGGATTATATTTTTCGACGTCGTTTTCCAAGGGACCAGAAAAGGGCGGGCTTGCAGCCTAACGTAGGACTCGGAGAATTGCAAAAAGCAGGCACTAAAACAATCAAAAAGCTGCGACCAAAAATAAAAAAAAAACAATCAAAAAGCTCCTGGCAACAACAGAGAGCAACATTCGACCAAAAAAAACAAAAAAACAACAGAGAGCAACAACAGTAAAGAGAGAAACCCGCGAAAATCCTCTCCTCCTCCTCCGCCATCTCCGTGCAGAACCGCTTCTGCTCGAGTGCTGATCACTCCACCCCTGGTTCTTCGTCTCCTCGGTCCTCCCTCTGTTCAAGCTCGCTCATGCAGCAGCATTCAGCCTCGTCTCGCAAACCGCGAAGAGCTTGAAACTATCATCTCCGAGGGGAGGATTCAGTGTCCCACCGGCAGTCATGAGCTGCGATCCTCGCGTTCGCTCGACGCGTAGCGAGGACGTCGGTGAAGTCCCCGACGGGTCGGTTCCTGACCTCGTCACCCCGTTCAGGTCGGCGTTCAGGCTTCCCGTCGAGGACTTTCAAAAGTTTTTAGCGGCGACGCAGGAGAAATGGAAGCTGGACATCGAGGAAACGGAAGCCCTGAGGAAGGAGAGGGAGGCCCTGAGGGCGAGGCTCGAGGACGAGGCGAGGAATTCGGGGATCCTGAGGGAGGAGAACGAGCGGTTGCGTGCGGAGGTCGCGAGCCTCGAAGACGAGATGCGGAAGGCCGAGGCGAGAGGGAGGGACGAGGCAGGGATGTTGAAGGAGGAGAACGAGCGCTTGGCTGCCGAGGTTGCGAGCCTCGAAGACAAGATACAGAAGGTCGAGGAGAGAGAGAGGGACGGGGTGGGAATGTTGAAGGAGGAGAACGAGCGCTTGTGTGCGAAGGTGGCGAGCCTCGAAGACGAGATGCGAAAGGGCGAGGCGAGAGGGAGAGAGGTGGAGATGTTGAAGGAGGAGAATGTTAGGTTGAGGAGGAACCAGGAAGTGTTGCACAAGATCAATAGAATGTTGGAATCGGAGAAAGCTGTTGGATTGCTGGGAAATGAGGAGGGAGTGAAGAATGCGGAAGGGGAAAAGGGTGTGCCTGGTGAGGCCAATGGCTTCAACATGGAGAATGAGGATGGTGGGGATGGCATCGGTGCGGGGAAGGGAAATGATTCTCGGGTTGGCGGCAGTGTCTTTACCTCGCGAAAGGCGAGGACGATGTTGTATCTTGGAGAAGGTACTTGTGCGTCTGCTTCAGCTTCACCATCGGCGGGTTCAAGAGGCAAATCTCTTGTGAAAGATGGTGGGGTTTCACAAGGTAAGGGAATTGAAAGATTGTTCTCATTCTGGCGTTGTCTAATCTTATGAATACAAGTTGTTGAAATATGCCAACTCGCTTGACAATGGGTTTTATATGTTCTTTATATATACGCAGTCTCCTTCTACCTGTCGGTTTAAGTTTTTGAGTTTGACTTTCTGACGAGCAATATTCCGAGCAATGAATTGTTTTACTCCGAATTATCAACGACACTCTTATGGGGAGGTTTCATACATGTGCTACACACAGAATTAACAGCAATCCGGTGGCCAGATCCCACGCAAGTCCTGTCTTTCTAGGATAGTTTAGACAGTTTCGGCTTATTTGAAAATGTAATGGGGCTCATCGTGAATCGCTCAACTCCTTATCCCTTTTGAGGGGCGTAATGTCAGCTCATGTTAAGAAGAGTAGAGACTCACACGGGCAAGACCTTTTCAGTCACATTCGAAAATGTTTACTATGAAAACCCCTTCATTCATTCCTTCAGGGGAGAACTCTATCAAGGGCTTTTGCTTATTGCTTGCTGTGTGCCTCTCTACCTTAAATACTTCAGGGGGAGAACTCCATCAACGATTGAGAGTAAATCTTGCTCCATTCACTTAAATACTTCTTCTCAATTCCTCTGTTATCCAGGCCAGAGTCGCTCAACTCCTCAACCCCTTTTGATGGGCTTAATGTCAGCTCATGTTAAGACAAGTAGCGACTCACGGGCAAGACCTTTTTTAGTTACATTCGAAAATGTTTCCTATGAAAACCCCTTCATTCGTTCCTTCAGAGGAGAACTCTATCAAGGGCTTTTGCTCATTGCTTGCTGTGTGCCTCTCTACTTTTCAACTGCTAAGAGTACATTTTGCTCTCTTCACTTATATACTTCTTCTCACTTCCTCTGTAATCCAGTCCAGCATCGGTGTTTCTGATACACTTACTCTGTAATCCAGTCCAGAATCGCTCCACTCCTTATCCCCCTTTGATGGGCTTAATGTCAGCTCATGTTAAGACGAGTAGTGACTCACATGGGCAAGACCTTTTTCAGTTACATTGGAAAATGTTTACTATGAAAACCCCTTCATTCATTCCTTCGGGGGAGAACTCCATCAAGGGCTTTTGCTTATTGCTTGCTGTGTGCCTCTCTACATTTCAACTGCCGAGTATATATCTTGCTCTCTTCACTTATATACTTCTTCTCACTTCCTCTATAATCCAGTCTAGCATCGGTGTTTCTGATACGCATCAATACACTTACAAGCAAGAAAACTTGTCTACAATGTTTCTAGTGTATTTTCATAAACTGTATCGGGATATGTAGGATTTTTCTGCAGGTGATATGTTCAGCAGATATGCATTGTAGGCGAATGCATACTGGCACGAAAGAGAGTACAAGAGACTTGCATCCTTTGCGATTCCAACAACACTCCCTAATTCTTTTTATGGATTGATGAATTGGGAGAATATGGGCATTGGCTCTGTCGTAAATTAATTATCAAGACTGTCTCTAGTAAACTACTCAATGTGATCGTTGATCTGGATTCTTTGGTAGTTGCTATTTCTATGTATATATTGGTAATACTTGACAAAAAGGTATTCTGAGCACCACCGCGGTACTTTGGCATTTTCCTACGCACAAACTACTCTATTTGTGCTTTGAATAGCCACAAAATGAGTATCGTGCAATCAATGCACGGGAATAGACTATCGAATCGGAAGTTTACGGTTTAGGACTATAGAAATTTTTTTTTGATATGAAACATTCTGGGATTTTCAAGATTGCATATGTGCATGTCAACTTGCTTTCAGAATGATAAGATCTTCCTAGTTATCTAGATTTTGCCGATTTAAGCCCATTACATTTACAATGTCTAGCATATGTTTCCTTTTTCAGGTGATGGGAGAACCCCATTGAAGGAAGTTGAGGTATGCATAATCGATGATGACGTAGCTGGGTCAGGACATTTGAGCAGAAATTATTTGTCATATCAGAAGCCTACAGTTGGCATGCATCTTGGTGGGAGTAATCAAGAGAGGGAGAAAAAAGAGCTTAAAAGGAAAAGAGGTTTGTGTCTCGATCTAATTGAGGGGAAGAACAATTATAACCATGCCAATGGTGCTGGTATAAGCCGGACTCAAGATGATGGAAGAAAAATGATTCAGAATGGTTCCATTGAGATTTGCTCATCAGCTCCTGTTTCTTATGGGTTCCACAAATCTTTTACCCAGTCTGTTCGGAATGTAACAATTGTCAAACAGCATGAACGGAAGAATATCAAAGGAAAAGACTCCAAAAACAGCTCGAGTAAGTTAACTGTGGTTAACTCTATTGCACATGAAAAAAAGGTCAGCTCAGGTACTGCTAAGCCAGCCAATGTCAGTTGTTTGCATGGAAGAGCATGGGAGAATGTGGAAGAGTTGCAGTCAGATTTTGAAAGGGATGATGAGCTGTGTGTGAAGGCTGTCTGTGCTCTTTACAGACGGCAAAAGTTAGCCCGGACGGCAATGGAGAAGAGCATAAGTCAGGGCTTTAGTGGCCTCCGATTGCTAAGGTATTAACATTCACACAGTGGCAGCAGCGACATCAATTATTGCTTTTTCCTATTTTGTTCCTCTGTCTGCAGAAGTTTGAGTTCTAATTTACCATGATGCATGTTGAGTCTTAGTTACTCATTAGATACTTTGTTCTTTGAAACTGAACAGTCGTTTTCTGAACTCGTCATTGTCAACCGGAACCTATTAGCTGCATTGATTGTTTGTAACATCACTTTATGTGATTCTGTTGGAGTTGGTAACTAGGTGGCTAAACAATGTTTTTCTTCTAGGTGCATCTATTCTGAAGCGGTGAATTGGCTGTTGAATAAACAAAACTTTGACTGAAAAATATGGTTGAATAAATAAAACATTCAAGCGCCAGTGGGTGAATGAGTTGTCTCCTTAACGTCTTACTCTTTTTCCCTGTTTTCTCACTGATATGTAGATGATCGCTTCTTCAATCTAGTGTAACAATTCCACCACTGATTTAACACTTACTGGTTGCAGGGGAAACTTTTTGGGCGAGTTTTTGACGGATCGAGATCCACAATGTAAGCTGAAAAGGTCTGTCGAGGATTTGCAAGATCATTGCCCGCGAGGCCTGAGTGACTGCCGAAATATAGCTATTGAACACTGCCACCAGTTGTTTGCAATGTATCAGAAGAAAGAGGATCCCTATTTTCCAACAGAGTGAAGTTACGTCTTATTTTCCGGAGGTTCCCGAGGCTAAATGCTGCTCGAGGTTTTGGCGAAGATGGTTCCTACGGGTCTACTTGTTAGTAGCTTTTTGCTTGACCCATATGCTCCGTTGCATCCTACACTGTAGCTCGCTGCTCAGACATTTGCGGAGTGTTTTCTTCTATCTCTTCATCACAGGAAAGTTGTCCATTATCGCTCTTACTTGTAAAAATACAGAATTATAGCAATTGGTCTTAGCATTTAGGATTCTCACGTCGTGCTTTTAGTTGTTGCAGAGCAGCTTAAATGTATTTTCCAGTTTTCATAGTTGCCGGTCCTTTACTGAGGCTTATGTATATAGCTCATGAATACTGCAAGGAGTCTCTTTTGAAAATGTACCACAAGGATTATTGGCTCTTCTTAGAGTTGGAGGATATGAAGAGAAGCTGCTCTACCAGCGCTAATTTATTACTGTCCTCGCATTTATCTGAAGTTGCACTAGAACAAAGATTATGTTAGTCTGCAAGCTGTTTCATACAACTTCCACGCGACAGTTTCAGCTTTGAAAATGAGTACTGTAGCTTTCACTTGGTGTTTAGCATGCACTTAATCACCGTAACACCTAAAGTAGCAGCAAGAATTTTAGAGAAGTACTAAACATTATCCGATTCTTTCAAATTGCCAACTTTTTCCAAATATTTACAAATATTTATTTTCGTAGGCTACCGAAGTGTTAAAATTATTATATGGTATACAAAGTTGCTAATATTGATTTGAGTTACTTGCCAAAGTTTATTTGATTTTTCCAATTTTATAACGATTAAATTAATAGTTAATGGGTGACTCAATTATTACATGCTAAGCTAAAATTGGTTGGGAACTTTATAGGTGAAAACTGATAAATCAGTTGGTAATATTAGAAGTACAAATAAATGTTGGTATTTTTGAAAACATGTTGGTGACCTGCAAATAAGTCATAGTTCAAACAAGTTATTGGTCAAAATTTAGTTGTCAATGCATTTAAAAAATTACCAAACCTTTCATCCATTTAACACCACGGAATAGTAAATATGGGGCCACAATTGGTGGTTTTTTATATTCTTTATATGACTACATCCACCTGATACAACTAATTTTGGTACGATAGAATGAAATGACATGAAAAGAATATTGAAAAAAAATGGGATGTAAAAAAGAATGAAATGAGATGAATAAATGAAATCCTATATTTGGTCGAGTGTAAAGAAAGATATGAGACTCCCAAAGAATGAATGACAAATACCAAAGTTCTTATAAACAAGTTTTATAAGGGTACTTTGGAGATAGGATGCTTTTGTGAAAAAACACAGAGAAGGTGCATTCTAAAGGTAACGCCTAGTCAATGCATGCCCAAAATCATAGAGCAAGTATTGCTCGCCCTTGATGCATGCATTGACAGATTGGGCAATTTCTTGTGAGGCCCATTTCATCTATCGGTGAATATTGTTGAGGAAAACTCCTATTGATTTTGAAGATGACAAAACTTTCTATATTATTGTAAATCTGATACTTATTCTGAACAATTTTATTCCAGGTCTGTATATTCTGGAAGCTCAGAAGAAAGTTATTTAGACTTTACAAACTGTCAAGTATGTTTTTAAAGACCCACATAATCGAAGTTCTGAGATTCAGACGCAGAAGTTATTCAAATGCAGAAGCAAAAGTTATTCAGATGCAGATGCAGACGAAGAAATTATTCAGACGCAGACGCAGAAGTTCTTCTGATACAGACGCAGAATTTCTTCAGACGCAGAATTCAGAACATAACACAACAGCTAGTGATCTGGCATGGATTTCACAGAAGGAATGTTCTGATTGTCTCAATCTTAATCAAATTGATTGACAATCAAACATCACGTGAATGCATTACAACGGACATATCTCTACTTATGGAAACCAAGATTCTGATTGTATGGGCGACCAGAATCAGCGGGATTCAGAATCTGTTATCCAACGGCTACTCAATCCTTTCTATACAAATCTGTCCAATGTGAAGATTGGAAGATGATCCTCTGAAAGCTGTCCAACGGCTAGTTTGGAAGTAGAGGAGTATTTAAGGAGATCAACGAGCAGCAGAAGGAAGTACAGAATCAAGAATCATCAAGTCCAAAGTCTGAGTATACTCCAAACATTTCTCTTGTCGTTCTGAGTAAAACATTAAGATCGTGAGGGACACTTTGTAAGAGTGATTGTGTGAGATAAAGAGTCTTATCATACACAAGAGTATTAACACTCAGAAGTTGTAATTCCTCTTGATTACATAGTGAAATCCAGCCGGTAGGCTGTAAGCGTGGGAGAGTGGACGTAGGCTTGCTATAAGCCGAACCACTATAAACTTGTGTGCAGATTCTCTATCCCTTATCTCTTACTTTACATTCTGCACATCAAGAGCACCGTCTATATAATCTGTCTTGAATCTGAATTTTATTCAGACTCTTCTGTGATTTACTTTGTTTCCGCATAAATTATTAAAATTGTTTTAGATCACCTATTCACCCCCCTCTAGGTGATCCTTGCTAGCTACATCAAATTTGTATGAGACAAAAGTTGAAATACCAATCTATTTTCTCTAGCAAAAAAGAAAAAGAAAATTCCTCCCTATTTTTTTATCACGAAAAATCTCAAATTAGTATATCTGTGACAAATTTACCCTAAACTAATTTTTTGACCACTAAAAACTTCAAATTAGTACATTTATGATAAATTTACCTCAAAATATTTTTTTGACCACAAAAACTCCAAAACTGGCATATTTGTGACAAATTTACCCTCCGTTAGTTTCCGTTAAATTAGATTAATACCACGAAAAATCACAAATCGGTACACCTGTGACAAACAGAGGGTAAGACTCCAAACTGGTACATTCGTCAATTGCCACTCATCATCCAACTTAGCAATTTAACAATAAAAATTAAAGCAAACTAACGGAGGGTAAATTTGTCACATGCGTACCAGTATGGGATTTTTAGTGGTCAAAAAATTAATTTGGAGTAAATTTATCATACGTGTACCGGTTTGCAATTTTTTGTAGCATTAACCCAATTAAAAATATTATTGTAATTCACAAGAGCCAATTTTCCCATGAGGCACCTAAAATTAAACATAATTTCTATTTTCTATGTAAAAATCTATCTATATTACATGATAAAGCTACATATGTAAATCTGGGATATTATTATAAAAATCAATTCTAGAAAGTAGTCTCAATATGCGTAATGGCTAATGTTAATTTTTCGTAAAAAATTTCTCTATCTAAAACCAGAGGAACTATACGAGTCACACCACTCACTCATCCCAAAAGCAAGAAACATAAAATATGAAAAGATAAAAAGAAATCTAAAAGCGAGAAATTAGCCACTAATCCTTAATTAATTTAGCAGAAAAAGATCTGTCACCATCTCCGAACCCCGTACACCGCACGATTCTACATGCTCTCTGCATCTTCGTCTTCGTCTCCTCCGCGAATATGAAAATTGGATAAGCGCACTCAGAAGTGTTAATACTTATTACCGACTCCCAAAATTTTTATAAATTCAAGTTCTAAATGCAATAATTAAGTTCTTAAACTTTAAAAAAAGTTACCATCAAGATCTAAAACTTATTATCAAAATATATCGAGTTATAAAATTTTTAAAAATCCAATTAATGAAATGACTTGATTGAATTAATTTAATAAATTTTTAAATTTAATTATACTTTTTAAAAGTTTTAAGATTCATTTACACTTTCGACATAAATTTTAAGATTTGGTTATACTATTTAAAAGTTTTGGAATTCATATGTACTTTAGAAACAAGTCGAGAAAGCGAATCAGCAGCAGTTCTGGGAGAGATTGGTGGCTTGATCAGTGTGGGTGCGTGCGGCGATCGGGGCTCTGCTTGGCATGGAGATGATTCCAAGGATGGCGGGACTGTTTCCTTCGCGTGCGATGCGAGGAAGAAGCTGGATTTTGGCACGGGTGCTTGCTTGTCGCCCTTAGCAGGTTCAAGCGGTAAATCTCCAGTGAAAGGGGATGGAGTTTCACAGGGTAAGTGAATGAGCTCAGATGTTGGTAATTGATGTGACAGACACATCATCTTTACTGGTGATGATTTTAGTGTATCTTTGGCAACAATATGAGGATAAACAGGAGTCGTATTGCTGTGCTGCGGTCTGATGTGCATGCTGGCAATAAAGATGATGTAGAAAGAAGCAAGAGGGTTGCATATATTATAGTCAAAGAAGCTTTCCTTGTTTCTTTTTGTGTTATTGTTAAGTATGGCTATGGTACAATTTAACAATCAGGGCCTTCGCCGAGTGTATGACTTGCAGTGCTAGATTCTTGGTAGTTGCATTTTCCACTTCAATTGTGAGTGATACTTAAGTTGTTAGGGTTCCGAGCTGAACACATTGTGTTTTTGGCATTTTGACTATTGAGTAACAGTAACTTCCTGCTTTAAGTAAGAATTAGAAGATTATGTGCTCTTCACCGTACTTATCAGAATGAGCCCTCAGCTCCGAATTGCCCAGCGTTGTGCTGATTCAAGCCTCAAATCTTGATTGTCTCAAACGTTTTTTTATTTTTTTTTTGCCTTACCAGGTGATTGGAGTTTCCCATTTGTTGAGGTAAGTGATAATGATGACGATTGCGGTGGGCCGTTAGGGGATGAACATCGTGGTAGAAGAAATGATGAAAAGGGGCACAAAGAGCTCGAAAGGAAACGAGGTTTGTGTCTTATCTGATTGAGAAATTACAGGGTGCTTTAACAATCAGTATTTACACTGATATAAGCAAAGCAGACCAAAATCTGCTTCAAGAGGCTAACAATGTTTCTGTTAGTATTTGCTTATCAGGTTCCACTTCTTCTGTTCATGGTGAAACGTTTACCCAAACTTTGCGGGTTATGGCAGCTGCCCTCAAACAATGTGAACAGAAAAGAATGAAAGAAAAAGACTCTAATTACAGCTTGAGTAAGTCTACTGGGGTCAATCCTATTAAGCATGAAAATGGGGCTGGTTCAACATCCACTAAGTCAGAATATGGAAGTTCTGAACAGAAAAGAATGAAAGAAAAAGACTGATAACAGCTTGAGTAAGTCTACTGGGGTCAATCCTCCTAAGCATGAACATGGGGCTGGTTCAACATCCGCTAAGTGAGATTATGGAAGTTCTGAACAGAAAAGAATCAAAGAAAATGACTCTGATAACAACTTGAGTAAGCCTACTGGGGTCAACCCTATTAAGCATGAAAACAGGGCTGGTTCAGCATCCGCTAAGTTAGATTTTGGAAGTTCTTTGCACAAAGAACGTTGGGAGTCTGAGGCCAATATGCTTTTGGATTTCACCCAAGATGATGAGCTATGCATGAAGGCCATTTGCACACTTTATAGATGGCAAA